GTCCAGGGCCACATGTCTACATCTCCATAAAATATGAATATACACACACTAAAATAAACAAACAAAATATTTTTACTCATGTATTAAGTTTGGGTGTGTGTGTGCTATGTCCATATGTTGTAAAGGGTAAAAGTTTGCAAGGATAAAAAGCTTGAGAACCTCTGCTCTAGCCACTACCATTCAGATTTCTTCAGTGCCTTTGCTGACCGAATGGCGATGCATGTTGAGAGACCAAGAAAGGGCAACACTTCTTTTTGGAGGAAGGGTTTTTGAGTACTTCTCTATGTAAACTCTTAGAAGGAACATCTATTTTCCTCCCATCGCCATAGCAGTGAGGCGGAGGAATGCTCAACAAATCACAAGTATTGAACTATATATGGTGCTTAAGATTTTGTTGTTGTTGCTGCAATATAGTTTGGATTTTTTACAAAAAAAAAACACTTCTGGATGGGAATTCTTGCTGCTGGTGGCAAGAATTACCACTGAAAAGACCAGGTCAATAGAGACATCATCTGGCTATTTTTTTAAAAAACAAAAAACAAAAACAAAACAAAACTGATAACTACAGTACAGTGGGCCTTTGGTATCCACTGAGGTTTGGTTCCATGGCCCCCTGTGGATACCAACATCTGTGAATGCTCAAGTCCCATTAAATACACTGGCATAGTAAAATGGTGTCCCTTATATAGAAAGACAAAATCAAGGTTTGTTTTTTGGAATCTATATATTTATAAAATGTTTTCAAGGTGTGGATGCTTGAATCCATGGATCAAAAAAAAATCATGGATACAGAGGGCTGATTGTAGTAAATTTCACAGCATCAGCAACATTTACTCTGTCTGGAGAAGCACTCAGTTCACTAAGACATATTTTCTGCATTGACCTTGATTGGGAAGTCTAGGGAGTTGAGGAAATCACTAGAATATCCTAGTGAATTAAGAATGTAAAGAATTAATTGGTAAGTTAATTCCAAGCTTTGGAAACTATATTACAGCAGATCATATACTATTCTGCTGCATCTCACCAAGGTGCTGTGCAAGGTTATTAGCTTGAACCTATTAAGGGAAATTGTTTGATAAATGTAAATGAAGCAAACAAATAATATTTCAAAGGTCTGAATCATGAAAAATTTGGTAATTGCACACATGTCCCCTTCACATTTCCTGCATTTCACAAAGTACAATTTAGCCCTTGAGACTATATGCCTCTAATTAATTCTTAATTGTAAATATACTACAGGTTTCCCTACCTGTTGTTTACATTACTAATAAACCAGTGGTGGGTCAGAGACTCTGAAGGGTCTCAGTGTCATTTTGCCCTCCCTTGGACCTCAGTGGATTCCACCCACCCATTTATTAAAAAACCCTCAACACCCACACCCTTGGATGCTGGAAAACAGTGTAAAAATGGCTGTTGGAGTTTTTGAAGTAGGTTGGCCATTTAAAAGGCAATCTTGTTCCGCTTAGGAATACTTTAGGTCTCAAGTACTCATTTTTAATTTGGGCATAAACAGGTCTGTACGAGTAAATACTATATATACTCATGTATATGTCTAGAAATTTTAGTAAAACATTGACCCCCCCCCCAAAAAAACCCTTGATCAACTTATCCATGGGTCATTGTATATAAGTACATAAGTACATGTAGTATATATGTATGTAAATACTGTACTTTAACTCTTTTTTTAAAAAAAGGAACCATGCCATTCTTTGTGTAGAGTGGCAAAAAGTGAGACCTTAGTCTGTCCTGGAAGCATCTAAAAAAAGCACTGAACCACCACCACCCCCACACTATCTCATCCATCCAGCTTTTATGATACAGTTATACCTATCAGAATTTTGCAAATTCTTTGGCATAATTCCCTTTGCTTCATCATTTTCATCCTTTGTTACAGGCTTCTAAGTTTTACCCTCGACTTATCCACCGGTCATATCAAAATCCATAATTTTGACTCCCAAAACCTGCACTCACTTATACATGATGTCGACTTATAGTCAACTATATATGGTAACCTTTAAATGGCAAATTGTGCTTCCCCACCACTAGAAATCTGACAAACATTCCCATGAATCAATGCTTCCTGTCACTTCATAAAGTGTTCATTTTTGTATTGGTCAGCATGTTCTGAATGTCAGCATGGCATCAGGAATGCTTTCTGCAAAGCAGTACAATATATCTGGTAGTGTTAATGGGCCAGAGAAGTCAATCTGACCCCAAATCTGCAACTTATGCAAGACCTTCTTTTTCCCTTGCTGATTCAATGAGTTCCAATTATTTAGCACTTGATATGAGGAACATCTGAGCCACTTCATTCAATTACTCTCCTGTAATCATGCAAGAAAATTTTAACAGAAGAATCTTGGCAGATTCTATTTTTTTCCCCAGTGAGGCAGCACACTTCTTGAGATTGGATTTTTGGCTCTATTAGCAAGCTGCCACTTTTGGAAAATGATACAAGATGTAAATAATCTGTATGCATCTGTGTGCACATGCATGCTCATGCACCACACTCTCTGTATGATTGGCACAGGTTTGGTTTGAAAGGCGTGAAAATAGCCTAACATTTAAAGTAAGGCAATAGACATATCTATGCCATCCATGTAAAAGGATTGGAGAAGTTTATGGAGAATAGGTCTATTAAGGGCTAAACAACTAAAATGGAACCTTTTTGTTTATGGGCAAGACATGCTGCACACTTTACTTACATATCCCATGTGTCTTTGAAAGGACAACCCAAAGCCTGGAGAAGTTTTGCCTTTGCACTACAGCACCCAGAATCCCCATCCACCATGGCCACTGGCACAGCATCACCAGTTAAGCCTCCACTTCCTGTGCACTGTGGACTCGTTTAAAGATTATTTTAAGACTTTGAGGATACTCTTTTATGTGTAGTTCTTACTTATTACCTCTGCTTGCTGCCACCTCATAAAAAGTGGCAATTTTTGCATTGGTCAGCATGCTCTCAAGGTCAACATAGCATCAGGAATGTCGAATGTCACTTTTACTTTTCATTTTAAGGATGAAGATCTAGCAAAAAGAGAGGGGTAGGGAAGGAAGAGGAGCAGAGAGAGCTACAACAGAAGTGTTATAAACAGTTGATTACTAAGCACAGGCTGTTGTGCTTTTTAGTCCCTCAAGAGCCATGTTCAACATTTTTTCCTCCATAAAAGTAGGTTGTCATAGTGACCCGTAGTTTGTATTTTGAAGGAGACTGGAAAGTACCTAAAATCATGCAAAAGCAGTCTTTTATGTGACTTCCCATAATGTCCACAGACTTGTTTAAATATGAATCTATGTTTACATTCTTTGTGCATATCTCTGCATATCAAGCCCAGTAGTGTCTGCTCTCAATTTGGCGCAAGCTGAACTGGGTTGCAGTGGCATCACTAGGGTTGGCATCACCCAGTGCAGTAACTCATGGTTTCACCACCACCACCCCAATTCATCTCCTCCCATACCACACCGTACAGAATTCTTAGTAATGTTTTTATACTAATGTTACTCATAAATCGTGATTCCTGTATATCACTGAATGTAATGGCAATAGTGACATAAACAACTAGCAAAATTAAAATACCTTTAAATTATGATATCATATGCACAGCTTAAAGTGTATTTACATTTGAGGTGATTAAAATGAATATTTGGTAAAATGTGATTTTTTAAAGAAATTTTAAATTTTAAATTTTAAAAAAACACCCTGAGGCTTCTCCTTTCTCCTCCCACTGAGCCTCACCCCACTCACCCCATCTCTTCCACTGACGTTCAGCATTTTAAAGAGATGCAGGCAAATGCCACAGTCTATTTCTTCCAGAAGGCAGATGTTTGGGGACCAGTGGTGTCATCCACTTAGGGTTTTACCAGGTGCAGTGATGCACCTATTGTGTTGGGCTGTTTT